TGTGCGCACGCTGCCCATACACCTGCCAATTATCGTACGATCGCGGGATCACCCACGATTATCGTACGATAATCGGCAGGTGTATGGGCACCTTTTACACTCCAAAAATATAGTTAACAACCTTCTTACTAAGGATGAGCACCACATTTCTTGGAAGTTAGACTTTCCCCAAAATGTGTGGTTTTGCATTTGCCCAAATTTTGTCAGAATTGTTGGATAATTCTGCCCCGTAGCACTGCACAGCAAAATTAGAGTATAAAGGTGCAAGCAAGAAAAAAAAAAAAATCTCCGATTGCTTTGAGTACTGGACTTATCATGTAGAAAACCCCAGGCAGTCCCCATTATTGTTAAGACAATGGCTATGCGATTTTCGCATCACACATGTCCCCCCATTACTCTGCAGGAAACCTTTGTCATAATGGCAGAGATTTCTGGTTCTATGCCGACTTTTCACCAATTATTAGTTGTTTACCAATTACAGTAAAACCTCGGTTCACGAACGCTTCTGTTCGCGAACAATTCGGTTCGCGAACAGGAAGTTCAGCAAAATGTTGCTTCCTTTTGCAAACTCTGCATTGGGTGACAAACACGACCGCAGTCATCTTCCCTGCTCTGACACAAGGTTGTGGCTTCCTCCTGACAAACCTGCACCCAATTTGATCTTTTGCCACATGTGCTCCAAGATGGAGACTCTCATAGGTTAGAGTTAGGACCGCACTATATAGAGGTGCACTGGCGCGGCTGTGCGGCTTTCACATTTTCTGCAGAAGACGTGTATCCAAACCTCTGCTTTTAACCTTAGCGGCGAGACAAGTTTTTTTGCATTCTGGCTGGTGAGTGTGCTGGGATACTTTTTGCTATTCCTCTAGTCGAGATCGCGGTCTGATCACAGTTTGATTCGGTTCGCAACCAGAATTGTGGAAGGAATTAAGTTCGTGAACCGAGGTACCACTGTATAATTTAGACTTTTATACTAAATTATCACCAATATAGTATACAAGTCCATGAGAGCAATCCTCTCCCCCTCCTCATTGTTCTCTGTGTTTAGTTGATGGCCCTGTGTGTACACTTCAGGCTATTGATAAAAATGTTCCAGTGGTAAACTCTGAATCAGAGTTTTATAAATGGAACATCTTATTGTTGGACTGTAATGTAGGGCAACTGATTTAACAAAGAGAAGGTAAAATGAGGACATGGAGGTTGATTGGTCATCAGGGATTCATTTTACACGAGGTAGAAATAAACAAATGTCATTCAATACGTTAAATAAAAGAAGTATTAAAAACAAAACAAACTTTTTTCCTGCATATTAATTTTTTTAATTTTGAGGGTTTTTTAGACAACAAACAGCGTACAAAGAGCAAATCTTAAAGAGACACTGACCTTTATATCTTTATATTAAAATAATATTTAATCACAAAAAAAAGCAACTTGGAAATGTTAAAAAAAAAAGCAGCACACATTTTTTGATCATTTGTTTTTGGTGTATTTGACTATAATTGATCCTTCTTCTATATATGTGTGACACCTTGGGGTCTATTTATAACCATTTTGCATTGCCATTTGCCCTACAAATCTTTCTGAATGTTCATTCTGGGCAAATAGATACAATTATGAACATTCTTTATGGCAGTGGTTCTCAACCTGTCTAGGGCCGGGAACCCTTGGTAACATTTGCCAAGTTGTGGTGACCCCCAACGGTAAAATTTAGGGGTGACGCGGCTGCTGCAGCGACATCTGGCGGCATGGCAGGAGAACTGACACTGCTGTGCTAGGAGGGGGCTGAGGAGGACTCTCGCCTAGCACAGCAGAAATCACACAGCGACCCACAGGTTGAGAACCACTGCTTTATGGTATATGTTTTTCAGGTTAAAGGTATGTAACGTAGTACTGCATTTTAGCCACTGGATGGAGCCGAGGAGCATAGGAAATAAGTATTTAGACTAAACCCACAACCAAACAAAAGACACTCAGGAGCCATTCAAGGCCCTTAAAAATCTTTAAAACCACCTCCAATCCCCCTAATTTCAGCTTTCCTATTGACTGCAATGTATTTAGCTTAAAGTAGTTCTAAACGTTATAACTTTTTAGCATTTGACTAACATCAGTACATTGCTTCGTAAAAATGTGTGACCAAGAATGACTTTTGTATGTTGTTACAACCCAGCCTCCCCAGGTTGTGCAGTTTTGCTTCCCAAAAAGTCCGTGTAGGCACAGAGCAGAGGGCAGAGGAGAGGGGAGGAGAGGAGCGGCTTGCCGCTATATGCTTTTTGCTATCTGTACTAGTGTGCACACACTGGGAGCTCGCACGCAACTTTACAGCGGTGCTACCTCTGGGGGTATGAGCAGAATCAGAAGTAAGGGGGATGATGTATACATTTAGAGGCAGAACAAAAAGTAAGTACTGCAGCATAAAAAAAACAGCCATTAAAGTGATATTAAAGTCAAAAGGTTTTTAAATTATTTGAAACATTCATGAAATCACTCACAATGGATGCTGCTTTTTGATGTTTAACCACTTGCTGGCCAGGTGTTTAGACCCCCCTTCCTGGCCAGGCCATTTTTCAGTATTTAGCGTTGCAGTACTCTGACTGACCTTTATTCCGTCATGCAACGCTGTACTGAAATTCATTTTATACCATTTTTTAGGGACAGATAGAGCTTTCTTTTGATGGTATTTCATCGCCACTGGAAGGTTTTTATTTTTTTACTATATAATGAAAAAAGTACAGAAAATAAAAAAAAAACTTTTCCCTAAATTATGTTAAAAAACATTTATTCTTACCCCAATTTTTGGTAAAATATGAAAGACGGGGGGTCGGGTAAATAGGCACCAAACATGTCAAGCTTTAAAATTGCGTGTGCCTGTAAAATCACAAAAAAATCTACCATGCCCACAATTGGCCATAGGTGACGCTTTAAAAGCTTTTACCGCTCATCAGTTTAGTGTTATCAGTGATTGATGGCCCTAAAATTATTGCTCTCACTGCGACGTTCGCGCCGATATGTAGCATGTGTGGCCCAATGAGTGCAATACTCATTTTCGCACGTAGATACACCCGACGCATGTTTGTGTGTGTATGTGGGGGCAGGGGGACTTCAAAAAAAGTGTGTGCTTTTTTAAATTTGTTTTTTTATACTGTATGTGACTTAAATTTTTTTTTTTTTACTTTTTTGTAAACTTTTTTTTCAATTAACTTTATTGCTATCACAGGACTAATAAACACCCTATGTGATAGCCAATTTACACTGACAGGCTCTCTTTATGGAGACATCAGAGGTCTCCAAGACCCCTAATGTCACCTAGCGACCCCCCAAGAAGCTGATGAAGCAGAGATCTGCTTCACAAGCTTCTCTCCACCTACAGAAGCCAGAGAATGAAAGCTGAATGTGGAAGTGATGTAATATACATCACTCCTGCATTCAGAGAATGGAGGAGAGATCAGAGGGAGATCATGAGATGGTGACAGAGCCGCCGTGCAGGTCCCGGGCCTGCACCAGGCACAGTGGAGCTCGGGATCGGGAGCTCAGCGGAAGGGGGGCACACCCACATGCATAATACATAATACAAGCGATCCAGCGGCTCAACAGCCGCCAGACCACTTGTATGTAAACAGCCATCGCTGGCTGTTTACAAATATCTGGTTTTCCCGCCCATCCTGCTCATGCACGGCACCCAGAGCAGGATGGGCGAGGACATCTAAAATGCCCACTAACATTCAAGAAGTTCCCGGCCAGCCGTTTAATTATAAGGGCGGGCCGGGAAGCCGGTAAAAATTTTAGCTTTCTTCAGAAACAGTTGTTCCACTGAGCACTGGCACTGATATCCCATTTTAGGGTGGCACCTTTCCCTTTAAGGGTCCTATGGAGCCAGCCTTGTGTGTGCTAGTGAGCTGTGTGTGTCTGCACAAACACACAGACACAGCAAGGCAAGCCACTCCGCCCCCCCACCCCTTTCTCCTTTTTGCCTTCTTCAATCTAGGTAATGGACGGTTGCTGAAGACTGCTCTGTCCTTTGTGATCTTGTACTGGACAGGAAGTTCAGGGAAACCGAGCTGAGGGAATTGGAGCTGTTTGGAAACATGATAATGGGTGATTGGGCATAATTGTACAGAAATACTTGGCTGGTCAATGTATATTTGTTTGATCTGGATCCATTATTGAAATAAAGTTTGAGCATTTAATACAACTTTAATATCACTTTAATTTTGCTGATTTTTCACGGAAATATTGTCAAAGCGCAGCCAGGAAGTTTTACTCTCCGCCAGCCAGATCTGAAATACATGTCTGTATCAGCGTAGTATGCATTGTACTATCACATCTATGTTCTATGTATGTTGATGCCACATGATGATGATAACAGTAAATAAATGAAGCCACATATGACAGTGTTACTCCTGTGATGTTCCTGTGTAGGACACAATCGTGAAGAAGAAGTAGCTCAGATCAGGACAATGATGGATCCTCTCCTGGGACCTCAGCGGAGACCTTTGTTGGTTCTGGCTTGTGTCACCAACCCTGGGGACAAGAGGGTTCCCTGTGTATACCTGGCCCATGACTTGTGTTTGAGCAAACTGAATCGGCCATGGATGGTAATATTTACATTTGTTTTCTTTGTATGTTCTTCAACTTGTGTCTTTTTCTGTAAATTGAATGTCACAGTTGAACAAGTTCTGTGGAGGGGAACACATTTTTTTAGGTAGTTTATCAGTATGGGAAAAGTCATGGAGGAGTTCTGTGAACATTGAAAGTATGAAAATGCGGGGTGCAAGACGTCTTGTTGTCTTTTACTATTCCTATGAATTACTTTTGGGGAGCAATAGCCTCCATGATACATTTATATACAAACTCCTTTCTGATCATTGTTTAGACAAATTAACGGTTTGATTTCCTCAGCAGTTAGCAAAGACATATCTGTCCTTAAGGCCTCATTCACACAGCTTAGAGCCGGCCCTGTACAGATCCATGCGGCGTGCACGGACATATGAGGCCGCTCCCAGGAAGGACAGGTGCTGCGTGTGATTTGTACACAGCAGCCTATTCTTCCCTATGGGAGGACACGGCCATACACCGCTGTACGCTCACCCGAGCTGCACATCTGTGCGCGTGTCTGTACTCAGACACAGACAGGATGGATCCCGCACCTGTCCTTCCCGTGAACGGCCCGATACGGCCGTGCACGCCACATGGATCTGTACGGGCCGATTCTAAGCTGTGTGAATGAGGCCTGTAGGGAAACTATAAGAGCCCATTCACACCGGGGACAGAGAATCTGCAGGAGCCAGACACTGCACCCGCCATCCACAGATCACAGTTGCAATGGCTCTAATGCAAAAAAAATTATAAATACAATTTTTTTTTTTTTATGAAGATGTGTTTATTGATGACTTCTTTATTTTTTATTTTTTTTTAAGGTAGACTTTACCTTTTAAATCTGACAATACAATCTCTGTACATTCAGCTTTAGATCTACCAAAAACTATTTAATATGAGGTCCTACCTCAACTATCAAACCAATTTATATCCAATCGGGTAGGCTCTGGCACTATGTACTTTATGGTAACGCTAAAGCAGTTTGTAAGGTGTATGGCGAGCTTTAGAAACTGACTGAAACCTGACTCTAGATGATTTATTGTTATCTTTGAGGATGAATTACTTCATAGTAACTGCAGCTAGAGAGGTCAGGAATGGCTTGTTTTAAAGAAGAACTGTGAGCAAATAAAATCTTAACCTTTGAGGTGGGGCTATTCCCACACTGCAAGGGTTAGATGCTCATTTTGCTAGGGAGCTAACATAAAAAAGTTATACTCGCCTGAACTGCCATCCTGGCTGGCTGCTAGGCTGGTCCTGCAGCCCTTCTCCTTCACTTCAGTAATGGAATGTCCCTCGGCAACCTCACATCCTCTACACTGTATAGGACATGATGACTCACAGGACCTTAGACTGCTGGAGCGGAGGGAGAGCGAGGCTGAAGGGACCATTCTAAGAGCAAGCCAGGGTCGCAGTTTGGGTGAGTATAACTTGGTTATTTTAGTTACCTAGCAAAATGAGCACTTAACCCTTACAGCGTCGGGGTAGCTCCACTGCAAGGGTGAAGATTTTATTGACCCAGACTTCTTCATTAAAGTTCTTTTACTGCTTGTGGAAAATATAGAAATACTTTAGTGCCCATGCTCTGGCCATATATACCCTTTAACGTGTGTGTATCTTTACTAATGATTATAATATACAGGTGCAGAACACAGAAGCATCCACATTGTCTGGACTGTTAGAAGGCATCGAATGGATTCTTGGTGAAGTTGGGAAGAAGTTATAATAATGCTGACAATCATCATATATTATCTTTTGGCTACTCGTGGTTGTTTTTGTTTTTTTATGTCAGAATTTTTTTTAATTCATTTTAAAAACAAATCTCAAGTTTGAGCCATTGCTGGAGTCTGTAGGAGCGAATGTGAAGAGATTCATATGTCAGGTTGGACAAATACAATTGTAATCAAAATTCTTCACCCCCATTGCAAATCATTTTTATTGGCAAAATTGACAGACTTTCAGCTCTTTGCAATGAACAAATCAAACTAATGTAATTGAAATAGATGAACACAACAGATGTTCCAAGTGCTTTCCCCAAATTCAACTGGAAATGCAACTTTTAATTACTTCTGCAGTCTCAAAATGATTCACCCCGTTCATGGCAAGCATCTTTAGTATCTTTAGTACTTAGTAGAGCACCCTTTTGCTGTTATGAGCTGCTGCAAATGAGATGCATAGCCAGACACCAGCTTCTGGGAGCGTTCCTGAGTAGTGATGGGCTCGGGCGTGTTCGCAGCTCCACGTGCCGAGCCCGCCAGGAAGCTGACAGCGCCGCAGCGCCAATCACAGGTACTGAGACATTATCCCGGTCCGCAGGTGCAGAGATTGGGAAATGTCTCCGTGCCTGTGATTGGCGCTGTCAGCTTCCTGGCGGGCTCGGCACGTGGAGCTGCGAACACACCCGAACCCATCACTATTCCTGAGGAATCTTAGCCCATTCCTCATGAGTAATGGCCTCCAGTTCACTAATATTCTTGGGTTTGCATGCTGCAACCACCGTCTTCAAATCCAGCTAGAGATTTTCTATGGGGTTCAAGGCAGGTGACTGTGGTGACCCCTGTACAATCTTCCAGGACTTCTTCTGCAACCAAGTCTTAGATTTTCTATGGGGTTCATGTCAGGTGACTGTGGTGACCCCTGTACAATCTTCCAGGACTTCTTCTGCAACCAAGTCTTAGATTTTCTATGGGGTTCATGTCAGGTGACTGTGGTGACCCCTGTACAATCTTCCAGGACTTCTTCTGCAACCAAGTCTTAGATTTTCTATGGGGTTCATGTCAGGTGACTGTGGTGACCCCTGTACAATCTTCCAGGACTTCTTCTGCAACCAAGTCTTAGATTTTCTATGGGGTTCATGTCAGGTGACTGTGGTGACCCCTGTACAATCTTCCAGGACTTCTTCTGCAACCAAGTCTTAGATTTTCTATGGGGTTCATGTCAGGTGACTGTGGTGACCCCTGTACAATCTTCCAGGACTTCTTCTGCAACCAAGTCTTAGATTTTCTATGGGGTTCATGTCAGGTGACTGTGGTGACCCCTGTACAATCTTCCAGGATTTCTTCTCCAACCAAGTCTTAGATTTTCTATGGGGTTCAAGTCAGGTGACTGTGATGACCCCTGTACAATCTTCAGGACTTCTTCTGCAACCGAGCCTTGGTGGAATTTGAGGTATGCATCAGGTTCAATAACAGATTAGTCCAACTTCTATTAGTAGAAGTGTAGATAGAGGTAGAGGAAAAAGAAACCTTTAGGAGGCTGATTTATAAATCTTCCGCCCAGGCATACATCCGCACAGCATTCCCAACACTAGATGGAGATGGGAAATTTGTATGCTCCTCGGCTCCATCTAGTTGGCAGAAGATTTATAAATCAGCCCCTAGGTGCAGCCTTTCCTTTTTTTAGGTGCCTTGGCTAACTGGCTCCTGGAATTGGTTCAGCTGACTTTCAAGGACAACTATTGTGCAATAGCCCCTTCTTAATTCCTGCAGAATGATGTCCAGACTCCGTGCATTCATTTTGTGCCATAATTTGCAATGGTATGTATGATTTTTTTTTTCTTCCAGTTAAGTAGTCTGTAAAGTGATGGCAACATGGGGCCTGCTGCACTATTCAAGGGATACTAATTGTATGGTCTGCCAGTCACGTGACCGTCCACTTCCACTGTCATGGAGTTTTCTCTGCTGTGTTAGGCCGAGCTAACTTGTGGGATACAGAGGGCTCTATGCAGCCCTAAAATGCAGGGTCAGCATTGTGAAGAGTAGTTAGCAATATGGATTCTCCATTATAAATGGGGCCCTAAATGTGTCTATTTATAATTTGCTATTTTATCTTCCTATTAAAGTCTAGTTACTCTTTAAATCAAGAAGATTTGGCCAACAGCCTCCTGAATGAGCGAATCTTTTTTTATTTCATTTGATATTTGAAAGAGATTTATCACTGACGCTTTCCATGGTTGACGCCTGTAAAAAGCTACACTGTTCAATATTGGTTAGTTTTCATTGTTTTTATACAGACCAGTTTAATCTAGTCAGTTGGCTATTTTGCATCTTTTAATTTCTGTTTGTACTCTATGTGAATCTGACTGTTTTTATTCTACATTTGTAAATACGGGTAAATTGGTTTTGTAAATGATGATAAATAAATTTCTTGTATAAATGTTGTGTACGAATATACACTGCGTGCACATTTATTAGGCAAGTGAGTATTTTGACCAAATCACCATTTTTAGGAATATTGTCCAACTCCAAGCTGTATAAACTTGAAGGCTTATTGGACTTAAGCCTATCAGGTGATGTGTATTTGTGTAATGAGGGAGGGTGTGGCCCTAGGAGATCAGCACCCTATATCAAGGTGTGCATAATGATTAGGCAGCTTCTTTTCCTCAGGCAAAATGGGCCAAAAAAGAGATTTAACTGATCGTCAACGGATGAAGAAACAGACTCCATGGATGGAAGGCTGATGACTGTTATTGAAAAGAAGGGGGGCTATATTGGTCACGGAGTTTGTTTTTAAAAATGTCAGAAATGTTTCTTTGTAAATTTTAAGTTATTTGTTTATTCTCACTTTAACAGATGAAAATAAACAAGTGAGATGGGAAAATTTTTGTTCTCCATTTGGTTGCATAATAATCCTGCACACTAATAGTTGCCCAATAATTGTGCACACATAGGGCTAGTTCACACCAGCCACAGTGTGTTCGGGCCCGATCGGGGCCAGAACACACTAGATCGCATTGCGGCCGGCTCACTTTGTGTAGGGATGGGGCGTGGCGGTGCATTGAACTCACTGGCACTGCAGCTACGCCCTCTGGCCGCAATGCGATCGGCTGCACGGAAACGTGAGGCACATCAATGCCTGCGTTCCGGTCCGGTCAGAAAAAATGCAAACGTTCCCGTGCGGCCGATCGCATTGCGACCTGTGGGCGTGTCTGCGGTGCCATTGAGTTCAGTGCACCGCCACTCCCCCTCCCGCCCCAACACAAAGTGAGCCGGCCGTATTGTGGCTGGTGTGAACTAGCCCATAGATATTCTCCTAAGAAAGCCAAAACCTCACTTTTACTTTCTTAAATATTCAGGTTTGAGGTTTATTAGCATTTTGAATTGACCGAGAGCACTGTAGTTGTTCAATCATGTAATGAATCCTCAAAAATACAACTTGCCTAATAATTGTGCACACAGTGTAGCCTGCTTAAAGGGGATTTCCGCAAAGATTTTTTGGTACCATGGGCCTTAGCTTGTATGTGTGGATTGCATGCTCCTCTAGTGGTAGGGACTGGGTATGAGCTCGGGTTTGGACCAGACCTGCTCTGAACCTGAGCTCCTTTGAACACGGAAGGAGCTCCTCTGAGCACAGACAGAAGCTCCTTCCACTGCCACTCAATCAGCTGGACATAAGGAAAGGGGTGGGATGCAGTGATGTCATTACCTTATATGGCCATGTGGCCATATAAGGTCAATGATGCCTGGAACAAGCATTTCACCCCTTTCGTTTGGGGAAGCTTTGGAGCGGGGAATGCCCCGGGCTGCAGCTGGTTGGACAGTTGGCCCCATGTAGCTTCTGGGTTCTGTGGAGCTCAGGTTTGGACCAGGTCTGGTCTGAACCTGAGCTAATCCCTAGTAAGGACTAATGTGAAGGGTTTTGTGATCTATGGTAGCAATATAGGTCAGTGCTATATAAATAAAAAAATACTAAGATTGCTCCATGTAGCAACTACACCCCAGTTCGTTTACAGCTCCTGGTAATGTCTGTCACAGAATGTAGTCATTTAAAGTGCATGTAAACCCAAAGACTAAGGTTGTGTAATTGGCTCCCTTTTTTCCCTGTGAATGCAGCTTTGTCAGGTGTTTACTAAACATCTGCAGATCCTCTTTCCAAGTCCTTGCTTTAATAGGGTGGCAACGCTATCCCATCAGCTCCTTATGCTGCAATAGCATTGTGTGAACTACAGGCAGCCATGCTTCATCCAATCTGCTGCTGTGAACACCCCCTGCTGGTTGACGGACAGCTGCTCTGACCATTTAGCAGCCAGGACTGGGACTTCCTGCTTCAGTGATGTCAATGGCATCCTTAGGCAGCTTCTACCTTCAGGGACTGAATTACTAATAATAGCAAGTAGGGTATTTATTTGATTTTTTTATTACAAAACCTACCAAGTATTAATATTGTATGCCTGCACTACTTTACAGTTCCAGTATAATTCTCATACTTCAAAGTGTATTAATTTGGTTTTGGATAGAGTGGGGAAACAATAGACATCCTGTCAGGTTTTACTGGCACTGGAGGCTCTGCCGGAGAGATTCCTTCACTTCCTGTCTGGTAAAAAGGTTGTCACTGGGACAGGAAGTGAGGGGAAATCTCTCCAACAGCAAAAAAGACAGAAGTTAAGTAGAGGGATGCCACAGCCTCTGTCAGCTTTTTATCACTGTCTGTTTCCCTGTTGGAGAGTTTCCCTTGCTTCCGGTCTAGTAAACCATTGTTCCCGGATAGTGAGGGGAAATCTCTCTAACGGAGCCATAAATATCAGTACAAACCTGACAGGGGTTCTAACCAGGGACATCCCTATAATGAGGCAGTCACCTCAGGCAGCATCTCAGGGGGGCGGCAGAGGGGCAGCCACAGCGCTCCAGGTTGTTAGGAGCTATTAGCAACCTATGGCTCTATTGGCTCTGTCTGGCTTCCGGCCCAGCTCACTGATGTAATTGGTTTACAGGCGGGATGAGGGATGCTCTGGCTGATGTCTCGCCAAGCTCCTGGCAAC